AAGGTAATAGCGGGCACACCTGATGCCTCCGATATCCTTTTATATATCTCTTTGTCTTTGATGTGGTGATAATATATTTGCTTGCTTTAGCGGAATCCCCTACCTCGCGAGCCCTTCATCTTATCGTTCCTGGGCAAGGCAACGGCTCTGTTCATATACCTTCAAAGCGGCGACTCAGTCCCCGCTACCCCCTCGTCGAACCATTTGCCCCATGGGCACAACGGCTTGAGTATCAACTACACAACTCCTCATGAGCAATTGATTTCGGCAATATAGGAATTCTAAACCATACGCGACTCAGAGTCCAAGAGCGACGATTCAGCAGAAAACGTTGCACCAAAAGCTGTTTGCACTAGCGCATTAACTACAGAGAAAATGTATTTCGGCACAGAACAAATTAACAACAGTTTAACAACAAATTTAAATTTAACAACAAATTAACAACAGAACAAACAGGCTGCCGAAAGTCAACGCAGGGAGATTGAATTGCGTCGAACAATCCAGGAACTTGCCAGTCAAGTCGCGGCTGTACGGATTGCCCCCGTGCAGGCAGAAACTCCCCAAATAAAGGTTTATCAACCGGTAAAAATAGAGGGAGTAGTCCCTTATAACGAAACATTGGACGCAGTAAAATGCCTTCCAAAATTTATATGGATACAGGAGACATAAGTCTCCTGGCGGCAATAGCTGCATACTATACTATACTATACTATACTATACTAGAAATTATCAAGATAGTTCACGCCACTATCAGGCGGTAGTCATCATCAGGAGCATAGTCAAAGGCCCTGATGATGCAGTTCTATCATCTTTTGGAACTGTGCTGAATTTCGATGCGATTATGAATCGGCTCGATCTCACGTACAGTGACAAACGGACGATACACGTTACCGAGCAAGAGTTAGGCACCCTCAGACAGGGAAGCCTCACGCTACTTCAGTATTATGATGAAGTTGAGAAAAAACTCACCTTGCTTACCAACAAGGCAACTATGTCCTACGAAGCGTCGGTAGCAACGGTTCTATGCGAGAAGTTCCGGGATGACGCCTTGCGCGTTTTCGTCTCAGGACTCAGGCGCAACCTCACGGATGCGCTATTTGCGGCAAAGCAGAAAGATATGCCATCAGCGCTTGCCCTGGCGCAAGAAATGGAATCCAACCACGAAAGGTACACCTTCGCAAATTCGTTTGCAAGAAGCCAGGAAGATAGGGACCGTAAACAGCATCCCAAAGTACAGGAGCCCCAACAAGCCCCTCCACAAGCCAACTCGCAGGGAAGTGCCTGGAAGAACCCACACCTTACTAGGCAGCACAGGGCACAAGTGCACTTTGCTCCACGAAGCGACAGGATGGCTAGAAGAAGCACACCTATGGATGTTGACCCGTCATTGTCCAAAATGCAACCATCCCACGCCCCGGCCTTCCCGAAATCGGCGATCGTTGGCCTAGACCTGTTAAGACCTGTTTGCCTAGCAGTTCATATGGGGCTCCGAAGTAGAGCACATTGATTTTCACACTTGCACCGTCCTTAATAAAGGGTGCTTTTTTAAAAATGCTCTGGAATAGGAAAAACGCTTTTGCTGATCCTAATAAGGCTCTTCCTTACAATACGTCGGTGGTAGCCACCATCCGGACGATTGACGAGGAGCCCATTTATGCCAAATTGTACTCATATCCCATGGAAGCTGACTTCGTCAACGGCGAAATTCAGCAACTGCTAAAAAATGGCATTGACCCATGGTAATGACCCAATATGGGTAGTAGACAAAAAGGGCACCGACGAAGCGAGCAAAAAAATAATGCCTTTGGTACTGGACTTTCGGAAACTGAACAAAAGGACGGTACCAGACAGATACCCCATGCCAAATATCTCAATGATATTGGGGAATCTCGGAAAAAACTTCACGACACTCGATCTGAAGTCTGGCTCAGATCACGCTGAACGCGACCGTGAGAAGACGTCATTCTCAATAAACGGAGGGATGTATGAGTTCCAAAGATTTCCATTCGGACTCAGGAATGCTGCTAGCATCTTCCTGAAAACAATTGACGATATTCTGCGAGAGCAGATCGGCAAGTTCTGATACGTTTGACGTCATCATCTTTTCAGAAGATGAAAATTCCCATGTTAAGCACGTACATTGGGTTCTAAAGAGCTTATATGATGCAAACATGAGGATATCGGAGTTTTTTTTTAAGAAAAGCGTGAGCTTCATAGGATTCATCGTTACCAACAATGGTGCGGCGACTCACCCAGAGAAGGTAAAGGCCATAAAAGAATCTCCAGGGCCAAAAACGTATTTGGGGTAAGGTCATTTTTGGGCTTGGCCAGCTACTATCGATGCTTTATCAAAGATTTCGCATCAATAGCGAGGCCCATTTCAGACATATTGAAGGGAAAACGGGAGTGTTAGCCGACACAGGTCCAGGAATATCCAGGTACAATTTTCCGAAGCTACGTAATATCCTGGCATCTGAGGACGCTATCCTCAGATACCCTGACTACAAAAAAGCGTTTGATTTAACGACAGATGCTTCGGCCTACGGCATTTTCGCAGTGCTGTCCCAAGAGGGACGTCCGATTACAATGATCTCTAAGACATTGAGCGACAGAGAGGTTAACTATGCTACCAACGAAAGGGAGCTGTCAGCCATGGTCTGGGCATTAGCCAAGTTGCGACACTACCAATATGCGGTCAAAGAGATAAACATCTTTACCGACCATCAACCTTAAACGTTTGCGGTATCGAAATCCAATCGGGATGCCCAGATAAAGAGATGGAAAGCACGCATCGATGAATCCGGCGCACGAATTTTTTACAAGCCCGGAAAAAATAACCTCGATGCAGATGCCCTCTTGAGACAACAACTAACGTTCTTGGAGGCCACGAACCAGACACACGATTGAGTCTACGGACAAAACCGTGAACTGCTTCCAAAACCAGATCATTTTAGAAGAGGCGCTCCTCTTGGAAACGCACTTTAATACTGTTTGGAAATAAGACGCGGCACTCAATCAATTTCTCGTGCAAACAGACATTGCTAAAGGAACTTGCCAACACCATTATGCCAAATGGTGTAAATGCCTTCTGTCATTAATCCAAGACGATCTGGTTCGACAATTTCCCGCCACAAAGTTCTGCTATTGTAAAAATAGGGTAACCGATATTTTCGCGGTTGTGGAGAGAAAAGAAATTCTTACCACCGCCGAGGACAACAGAGCTCACAGGTCGGCCCAAGAAAACGTGAAGCAGGTACTCTCCGAGTTCTACTTCCCAAAAATTACCAAATTGGCGAGCGAGATAGAAGCCGATGGCAAAACTTGCACCAAGGCAAAGTATGATCGACATCCGAGAAAACAGGAGCTCGGCGAGACCCCACTGCCGGCCCATGTAGGAGAAATATTGCACCTCGATATTTTCTCAACGGATAAGAAATACTTCCTCACCTGCATTGACAAGTTTTCGAAATTCGCTATGGTACAGCCGATTCCGTCTAGAACCATAGAACATCTGAAAGCACCACTGCTACAACTTATGACTTTTTATCCCCAAAGCCAAGGCCATCTACTGCGACAATGAATGAATCATTGAAATCGCGTACGATAGTGGCCATGCTGGAAAACCATTTCGTCGTCAGCATCTCGAATGCACCGCCCCTCCATAGCGTCTCCAACGGACAGGTGAAACGCTTCCCTAGCACGTTGGATGAACTTGTTAGATGCCTAAAAATTGACAAAGGTATAAGTGACACAGTGGAGTTGATCTTGCTAGCCCCTGGTAGATATACCAAGTCTATTTATTCTGTTTAAAGACGGTAAAGTCTTAGGCTGGGAGGAATTCGCCTATGTTAGACAATCGGCTAATCTCTCGGTATAGGCGTAGCCAGGAGCCTAGACTTCTTGGGAACTGCGTTGAAGGATGTCGCAGGGACACCTGACGCTAAAGATTTTGAAGAGATAAAGTTTACTGAAGCACGACTAATTGATGCACAGACTAGTCAGATTGAAATCAATACCAATACACAAGTTCGAATTAACGAACTCACCAACACAATCAAATTTTAAAAGTTTCTAAAAGTGCACAAATTGATTCAGGCCATCTTTACGACTTGTTATAAAATCGCAATAGAATCATTGTTATGGAAGTAAAGAATCTCATGTTAAAATTATGTTTATATTTTTGTTAAGTGTTTTTGGGCGTATAAAATATCTTAGTATTACCCGGGGTACGTTCTGTCAATTATCTTCGGTGAGCTCGTGCGCCCAAGAACTCGTTACTCGTAGAGTAAAATGCAGCTTCCAGAGACATAAACGCAGTGCAAGTTTGTTTCCAAATTTTGCCAAACCCACAAACCGCACAAAACTTCCACGCTCACACTTTTGAAAAAGGGTGTGATATTATTTCATTTTTTTATATATATCTTATACATTTCTATAAGTTTATCAAAAAACTCCAACTCCCACAAACCGCCTAAAACTGTCACACCCACCCGTTTGAAACAAGTTGTGATATTATTTTATATATCATGTACATTTTTTTATAAGTTTGCCAAGAAACTTTTTGCCACGGCCAATCTAGCGCCCAATACTGTAATTTTTGATTTTTTTTTTCCCGCAATTTTTACCGATATTCCAGAAAATTATGAAATTTCTGGTTCGCACTCTCACTAGCTCTGAGTATCTGATATTAAACTCGAGTAAACTTATTTTGCTCTGTTTTAGTACTTGTGTCTTACCGAGGGCGATGATTAAGCGCACCAGATAAATACCTACCTCATGAACAAGATTGAATGGAACTGCAGGTTATTTCCTCAAATTTTAAATACATTTTCTTCACTAGAGTTGTTTTCATCGTTAAGAGGTTGAATTGTTTTTTTTTTTTTAGTTCGTAACGGACCAACCTAGCACCTAAAGTTTTTATATTTATGTTTGGAAACAATATGGTGATATTAAAGTTTTATAATTTTGAATCAATAAATTTATTTAAGAGAAGAGCTAAATGTGATATATTTCTTCTGATTGCTAGTTTAATTATTGCTCGTTTAGCTGTTTAATGATTAGGTTTAAATATTTTATTAATACTTGTATATTTTTAACTGTATTTTGGCATATATTTATTTTGAATACTTAAATCTTTTCCGTCATATGTTATGTCCTCATAAAAAAATTTTCGATTTGAGCGACATTGAGGACCACACCTGGTAGAGCCACAACTTCGGCAATTATACCAGCAACCATCACATTCTTGATTCATACAGTCACCTGAAAAACGATTTTTCTTAATTTCAGCTATGTAAGGACTGATTTGCACTTACAAATGTCCAGACCGTTGAGCCGAATATTTCCGTATTCATCATATGCGCCATTTTGACATTTCTTTCTGCCTCTTTTTTTATTTTCGGAATCTAAATGATGTGAATATTCGTTAGATAGTCCTCCTTTTTTTCTATGTCTCTGTCGCAGGTTGCGACCTATAGAATAATCTGGATCAACATACGACCTCATATCTTGGGGAGAATTTCGTAGACTAATATAGTACGACCTCGTTTCAACAATTTAATCATACCACGCGTCAATAATAGACTGTACACACTGCCGTATTATTATTTTTATGAGGTGCTTACACTGGACCTTCGTTTCTGTTTATACGAGATTTCACTGTATTACTCTCAATACATATTCAGATCGCAGAACATAATTTAATGCAATCCTGCAAAAAACAAAGAATAGAAATTAGAACCAATTACCTGACACCAAATTTAATGCACAACAAGAGAGAATGCTATAGTCGAGTTCTCCGAGTATAAGATACCCGTTGCTTACCTAGTAGAAGTGCGAACGAGAAATTTCAACATTTACTGGACTATAAATATCTATCTATCTAAAATCCGTCCTCATCATGAGCGTACTTATGTACGTGCACGGCTATTTAAGGTTATTTCTTAGGGGCTTAAAAAATTGTTCGTTAGGGTTTGTACGACGTTACTTGGCGAAGTGACCAAGCTTGAGAATTTACGTGAGATTTTTCCAATGAAATCAGCAGCTGGTCTTGTTGTAATTGCCCGCGAATCCTTGTGGATCTGCTTCTCAACGTAGCAGGCTTCTATCACTTCTTCCACTGAAAACCTTCCCCAGTAGTATCTTCTTAAGATCAACAGGTGCCCACGCATCCATAATTTTATCTTCTATCCTCGATTCCTGTTTTCGAGGATAGAAACGAACATCTATTTATTTGCTCGCGTAGTCGTATCATGAATTCCGCAAAACTTTAGCCGTCTAACGGTGTCATACCTCTTAGTAAATGCTTCTCGAACGTTGAGTGTTGTTCTGAGGAAAAGTGTTGATTCAAGTAATTTATGAGGATACCGTAGATGTCTTCATCATATTGATCGTTGGGTTCGATCAGAGTACCAGGCTTCGAGTATGCCACTGATTGCAGCTGGACTCCTTCAAAGAGCAGTAACTTACTTCTGTATTCTTTCGTTGTGTCGACTTTCGATGGAACCTAGAGTTCGGATTTTGTAAGAAAGAAAACATATAATATATCATTTGGATTGTACCATTACCCAGCTTTTTTCTTAAGAGCATATAATGAAATAATATTCGGTCCTTAATCGGTCCTTAATTTTTTTTTTTTGCATGTACCTTAAAATTTCTTATTTTTTCCTGCGTTTACTACTGCTCAGCACCTCTCTTAAGGGCTTATTGTGCATACTGCGCTTTCGGCTCCTAATATTTATTATGTTTTTCTTATGTTACCACATTCTTCCGGAAACAGGAAAATAAGTTCTGTGGTACCAGTACTATATATACGGACAAGTTAAGAGGTTGGCCAACTGTTTGACAGTTTGCACAAAAACTGATTATACGAATAATAATTATGATAATTTTCTCTGTTTGTAATGTTCTTAGTGTAAGTCTACAGTATTGCTAATGTGTCTCTAAGGATTGTAGATATACCCAAAGAGAGCGGAGCTTATGGTTAAAATTCACTTTTTTTAAATACTTCATAGCTCATTAAAAATTTGTTTTCAAAAATATTTTAAATTAAATTAAGCCCCGCAAAACTAATGAATGCAAGTCTCATTTTAATTTTTCCAATGTTCCTTAATCGATGACAACTCACCGATGTTATGTTGACCCGCATGCATTTTATTTCGGAACGTTTTCGTTAACTCTGGTGCTGCCCAGCGGCATATAGGTGGCACGGTCTTACCTCTGAAGCATTTTGCATTTGTACTAAAAGTTTTAATTAAATTAAATTTACTTCGATAGCCTTCGTTTCCAAATTGTATTTTCAACTCCCCCTAGATCAATGCAATTTTTTTTTAAATGTGGAATGTTTTAATGAGCAAGTAATGTTAAAAAAGCATATCGAATTAAAGTGTTCAAGCTAGTATTATTTAAAGGTAAAGCTAATTTATTCTGTGCTATAGTAGGGAATGTCGGTGGCGGTTGAAAAACTAAAACATGTCGACATTATAAAGCATTATGTTCTTGAACATAAAACCGGCAATTCCGGCTGAATCTGCTCGTGTGAATGAATACCTAGAAAACCGACATAGTGCATAAAGCTGCCGTGCTGGCTTAACGGTACTACCCACAAAAATACATTATTTTGACATAAGGTGAGCATTAAAGATTTTGATTTACACCAATTACCCTTAAGAGTACGCTTTGTGGCACTTTATATTCAACCCGAACAGCCTGGAAAAAATTGGCGTTCATGACGTGGGTTCAATGACGAAAAGAAAATCCTAACTGTGTTATCAAATTGTATTGAAGTTCGGCTGTGTTTAATGAACATTTTAAAATGGGGTTTCCTTAAAGCTTGTAAAATGCAGGAAGTTACGGTTTTTCGCAGCTTATTTAACGAACACTAAAATAAAAGTTAACAGCCTAATAAAACAGCCAAACAACTAAAGAAATATTTTCACTGTACAATATTATGGTTATGTTGATACTTATACTTTTAAGCTTTATATATTTATACCCTTGCAGAGGGTGTATTGATTTTAGAAAAGCACATCTAGAAAGTATAAATATTCGCAATCAGATTTAACAACCGAGTCGATATTTTCCGTATCTAAGCAAACTAGTCTCCCAGTTTTAAAACTATCTGAAAAAAACCTTTCGCAAAGTTCTCTTCCTATCAGGGGGACTTTATCATTTCGTATTTAATATTGGTTTTAAATTGATCACAAGGTCGGAAAATTGAAATTTTTGTAAAACCATAGTGATCATATGCAGTTTTTTTTTTTTTTAAATGCATATTTAATTTTGTATAACGCGAGTTATTTTTGTATAATGCTATAACAATCTACTAAAATCATTTGAATAAATAGAATATATATATCTTTTATCTTTTATGTATATTTGATATTACTAAAAATTATGTCAGGCACTGTAAATTTAAACAATTCGATGTTAAAGTTGATACATGAATTATATTTATGGCATTTAAAAAAACTTGTTTCCAGAAATAAAAAAAATGTAGGAAAACTACAAAAACAGTCGCTACAAAAGGGGCGTTGGTTTTCCTTCTGTCATACAAGTATATAAGAGAATATGTTTATAAATGTAATGGATTTACTTCCCTTAACTAAGTAACGGGTATCTGACAATCGAGTAAGTGTTTCTTGGAGAAGTAAATTCTCCATATTGTATTTTTTGTTACATTTAAAACAATATTTTTATGAACATGACTTCGTTGTAAGATCTTTGCAAACTAGACGTTTTCCTTCTCCCGTAACATTTATTTTTAAATACCATATAAATTAAGTATTTGGGATAATCCTGGTCACTGGATGATCCCACGCAGCAGTCCACGGGCGGAAGGCTTGTCGATCATACGGAAGTTTTCCACGCAGCTGTCGTCGCACGGAAAGTGCCATGCGTAATTCCAATTGATGAATTAGGAAGATTACGTTGGCTTCTAGCCTAGAGACTCAGATAGCTTAAAATAATAAGTTATTACGGCGGATCGCCGGAGTTTCAATTAATGAACTGGTGCTCTTTATTACTTCAAATGTAAATGCAAACTGACTTAAAAGCTAACATAGAAAAAGCTTCATAGCGGCTTCTGCCAATGTGCAGAGCTTCTGCCGGCTATGTGCGAGCTTCCGGCCAAATGCTTGGTCAGCAATGTATGGCCGTTACGCATGTTATTATTCTACACTAGTCTGCATAAGTATTTTGACAAAATTGTCAGCTTCTTTTGAAACTGGCTTGCGCTTAATACCAACGGTGCGAAGATGATTAGCAAAGCAAAGAATATTTAACACACAGAATGCCTATTTTTATACGGCTTACCCATTGCGTTCTCTTTCTACTTACAAGAATACACGCAGACAACCAATTTTTGTTTGGCACAAGTATTTTAACAATCTCATTTAGTAAATGGTATCCAGCCTTTGAGCAAGTGTAAATAAACAATTGTTTAAATTTCACTTTTTTTTGATATTAAACGTTATTAAACAAAAAATTAATTGATGACCATGGGTAAAAAGGCTGTGTTAAGTTTGTTTATTAGATCATCAATAGTAGCACAGTTTAACGCTGGATTTAAAGTAAGAAACATTGCGAAAGAGTTTAATGTGTCGCGTCAAACTGTATATTATTAAATTAAAAAAGTTTAAAACACAATGACTTAAAAAACTTAAAAAGAAACTGGTCCTAAGCGCAAGACAACATTCGCTGAAGATAAAATCTTTATAGGGGAATTTAAAAAAAATCCTCTTGCGAAACCCCAAGCCGTTGCAACGCAGTGGAATCTTACCGAGTGATCGTGAGATTTCATAAATCTACAAAGTTAAAATAAAGCATGCTGATTCCAGAGAAGGCTTGTTTCCAAAAGTTGCCAAGCCCACTCCAACGCTCACAAACCGCTCAAAACTGCCACGGCCACTTTTCGGAAAATGTTTTAAAATTTTTCAGTTTTGAATTGGTCTTGTAAATCTATCAATTTGCCAAAAAAAAAAACATGACAATAGCGTTCTCCCTTACTTTTATTTATTGAAATGCATGGTTTGTGGTAAATTCCCACGGTACGGTAAATTTAAAATCACTGTAACGGGAGAGACTGAAGAGTTGAATTACATTAGTGCATGGGGCTTACTAGCAGCCGCCTACAACAATCCCAGTCAAGTTGCAGAATTGATACTAACTCGTGACGATTCTAAGACACTACATTGTATTTTACAATTGTAAATTTTAGTTGTATTTTACAATCATTGAGTCTCTGATATCATTGTAGGGATTCGGCATTAATGTATGCAGCTGGGAAATCATATGAATTGCTATTATTAACCAAAAATTTGTTTGGCAATCAGAGCCCTTTACGAGCAGGTTTTGGTTTTAGATAACTAGAGACATCCAAGGGTATCGACCCACTTTTTAACACATCAAACAGGTGCCAACATTTAATAAAGGAGCAGAAAGGACTTCATTAATAAAGGAGCTCATTAATTAACACTGGAATAGCCCCAAGTTGTCAATTTTCTCACAGAAGTCATTGGCTGTCCAAGTGCGAAGATTTCGACACAAATCTACACTCGACA